CCCCAATAGACCCCAACACCACAAAGGAAAACAAAAAATACGCAAAAGTTGAAGACAGAACCCACTTCTCATTGCAATCATTACTTCCATTCTTCAGGCTGTTGCTCTTGCTGCTATGCCACCGCCACCCACACCGCCCGCCTCCGGCGGATGATCCAATTGGACTGGAACCCATTTGCATGTACCAATCAAGAATTCAAATTCTATAGCGACTTTTCTTCCTCTTTATACATAAATTCGTATAATATATCAGTGCAAGTAGATTTTTTTTCTCTCTCTAAAATCCTTTGGTTTTCTGATGAAACTGGGAAGACTTGGAGAGGCGACAATAAGACCAAACGTGTTTTGGGGGAGACGTTGTCAATGTCAGCACATTCTTCGAAATATTTAATGTATTCAGTGCTCCATATCTAAATACAGGAAAGACACATGGTTATAGAATCCTATATAACGTACAACTCAGTGTGTGATGTTGTGGTCTGACTTTAGTAAGAATAAAGCTCTCCTGTTTCGTACCCATTTTTTTCAAAATACATTTTTCTCTCTTTTTTTTAACCACACATTCTTTATTAAAATAATATTACACGTAAATCAAAAACTTTTCTTTATTTTTTAATCACACATTTCCCATTAATTTACTATTCAAAAATGTATTTTCACATAAAAATATCTACCAAACACCCTCTTAGTAATTAGCTTTATTTTTGCAACCATTCTATAAGTACACATTTTTTTCACAGTACACATGGGTGGGGTCCACAATTAAAATAATACTGGACTCCATCCTCGTGAGAAAATGTGAAAATTGCTGTCAAAAATACATGCTATACAAACGGCATTTTCGTTATTTTTGTCAGCTAATTGAAATTAATTTTACTTTGATTTAGCCGTTTCAAAAAAACAAATATATTTTCGGTGGTTAAAAATAAATCCGACCGTCTCTATTCAATTTTTATTTTATTACCAGTCTTGACTTGATCTTGATACCATTGCATAAGGTTGCGATCAGAGTCGAATCGTGATGTTACCAATGAAACAAATATAATAAAATAAATAATAATGTTATGAAAAGTAGTGTTACAATCTTGGCTGATTCAATACATCATTTAACATAGTTGCAATGAAATATTAGAGTGCGTTTGGTTGGTCATTCTGAGGTCATTTTCAGCTTTCAATTTTTGAAAACACTCAAAACGTGTTTGATATATTATTTTAAAAAATGCAATTTTGAAAACAATGAAAATTTTATAAAACAAAATTCAAGACAACTTTTTAACGTTTTGAGTGTTTTCAATGAAAACTCAAAACAAGGAAAATGAGTTTAAAAATTTCCCAAATTAAATAATTAATAAAATCACACCAAACTTACCTAAATACAAATACCCTTCTCTCTCTCCTCTTCCTCTCTATCCCCATGCTTCTCCAAAATGTTATAAAATTATTTCTAAAGTTTTTAAACTAAACGTTTTCTAATTTTTTGTTTTGAGAAACAGTTTTTCAGAATGACAAGTCAAACACTTTTTCTACTACCTTAAAATAATCCCTCAAAACAGAAAACAGAAATA